CTTTATATAATAAAACATATTTTTTAAATGATCTTTTATTTTTTATTTCTTTTTCTTTTTTGCTTTCTTTTTCTATAATTATTAGATTATAACAAATAAAATCTAAGTCTTTCGTCTTAAAAAAAATTAATTATATTTTTAAATTTGTACATTAAAAAATAAAGATTTCATTTAAAATAGCTAATAATTACAACAATCAATATTGGTTAAATAATAAATAACTTTTAGTTTTAAAAATTAAAGGTCCTTTTCAATTTTATTTTTTTTTTTAATAAAATTTTTTTTTAAATTTGTATAAATCTGTTTTATATATATTTATATATTTTTATATATATTCATGTTGTATTTATTATATGTATATATAAGTGGAATTACTTATTATAATTTCTCTTAGGTTCTTGGACAAACTCAAGATCATCGACATCGTGTTTTAGTAGCTGCTGCAAAAAATATTAAAAATTGGTTTGTGAAAGTTCGCAAAATTAAAGCAATTTATCATACTTTAAATTTATTTAATTTGGATGTTACGCAAAAATGTTTAATTGCTGAATGTTGGGTTCCTGTATTAGACATTGAAATAATACAATTAGCATTACGTCGTGGAACTGTAATTATTTGTATATTTTAATAATTCTTATTTAATTGTTTTTAGTTAAAAATTTCAAAGTTATGTATATTTTAGGAACGTAGTGGAAGCTCTGTGCCACCAATTTTAAATCGTATGGTAACTTTTGAAGATCCACCTACTTATAATCGGACCAATAAATTTACTAAAGGTTTTCAAGCTCTAATAGATGCTTATGGAGTTGCTTCCTACAGAGAAATGAATCCATCTCCTTATACCATAATAACATTTCCATTTTTATTTGCGGTTATGTTTGGAGATACTGGTCATGGCCTTCTTATGTTCCTTTTTGGTGGATGGATGGTATTAAAAGAAAAACCATTAGCTGCAAAGAAATCTGATAACGAAATTTGGAATATCTTCTTTGGTGGTCGATATATTATTTTTCTAATGGGTTTATTTTCAATGTATACTGGACTTATATATAATGATATATTTTCCAAATCGTTAAATATTTTTGGATCATATTGGAGAATCAATTATAATTTCTCTACAATAGATTCAAATAAGGAGTTGCAATTAAATCCTAGTGATAAAGAACAATATTTACAAATTCCATATCCTATTGGAATGGATCCTGTGTGGCAATTAGCAGAAAATAAAATCATTTTTTTAAACTCATATAAGATGAAAATATCTATAATTTTTGGAGTCATACACATGTTGTTTGGTGTGGTAATTGGATTATGGAATCATATGTATTTCAAAAGAAAACTTAACATAACTTGTGAATTCATTCCTCAAATTATTTTTCTAGTATTTCTTTTCCTTTATATGGTACTACTTATGTTTATTAAATGGATAAAATATGGCCCTGATAGCGATAGTAAGTAATTATTATATTCAATGCAAAAATATGTTATATGTACTAATTATTATTAATATAGTAATAATAATTATTATTATAATATAATAAATGGTATTTATTTTAATTTTTAGAAAAAAAGGATATATATAATATTATAATAAAATAACATTTATAATATTATTTGTAGAAATAGATCCAGAACATGGTCCTTCTTGTGCACCATCAGTATTAATTACATTTATTAATATGGTATTATTTAAACCTGGAACTGCGCCAAAACCTTGTTCACCTTGGATGTATGGTGGACAAAGTGGATTCCAATCATTTTTAGTAGTTATTGCTGTTCTTTGCATTCCTTGGATGTTATTGGCAAAACCTATCATGCTAATGAACAATAGAAAAAAGCAACATTATCAGGTTAAAATTTTAAATTCAATATAAATATATTTTTTTAGTTAATTTTTTTATATGATATATATATAAAAATATGAATTGAAATTATAATTTATATAGAAAAATGCATTTATAGTTTGTAACTAATTTATTTAAAATTATTAGAAATATGCAAAAATATTATTAAGTAGAATTATCTATTTTTATAAATTATATATTATCAAAAATTTTTATATATTTTTATATATTTTATATTAATTCTTTTTTAAGTAGAATTCTATAATTAATACACAAACTGATATCTAGAAAAAATTGATTTCAGAGAAAACTGTTTGTAATAGTTTATTTGATTCATTGCGTAAATGTATATATAATTCATACATAAATCTTCAATTATCATAATTAGATATAGCAAATTATTTTAGAAAATAAATTATTGTTAATTTTTATATGATATGAATTGAAAGAAAAAAATATATATCATATATATATAGAATTTGCTGAAAAAAATAATTATCTTCTATTAACAAATATTTATTTGTTTGTTTAAAAATTTGGAAATATTAGATTTAATTTCGTATTATATTTCACAATTTGATAGTTTAAAGTATTGAAAATATCTTTTGTTCTTTTATATATTCTCCTATTTTAAAATGCTTTTATATATTTTGAAAATTAAGAATTAATAATATTACAATCTTGAATGTTTTTTTTTTTTTTTTTTTTTTTTTTTTTTTTGTTACAGTTAAACAATCATGGTACAGAAAATGGAGATGTAGAAGGTGCTGTTGATGCAATACAACCACCAAATGGAGTTCCTCAAGGAGGAGGTCACAAAGAAGAAGAGGAAGATATGGCTGAAGTATTTATTCATCAAGGCATACATACTATTGAATATGTTCTTGGCAGTGTATCTCATACTGCATCTTATCTGCGTTTATGGGCCTTATCTCTTGCCCATGCTCGTAAGTTTAAAAATTAATACATTTATATAATTATATAATTATTAATATTTTATGTAATTACATATATAATATTAATTATACGTAAATTATATAATTTACAATTATATATAATACAAATTATATATAAATTATAATAAATATATTTTATTGGATATTATTGATTACATTAGAATTATCAGAAGTATTATGGAATATGGTTATGAGAAATGGATTAACTCAAGAAGGCTGGGCAGGTGGTATTATTCTATGGGCTGTGTTTGCATTTTGGGCTGTTTTAACAGTTGGTATTCTAGTTCTTATGGAAGGTTTATCAGCTTTCTTACATACACTTAGACTTCATTGGTATGTTGAAAAATTATTTTGCTTTAAACAATTTTATAAATATATTAAATATTATATATATTAAAATTCAATTTAAAAAAATAAATTAAATTTAATATAAAAAAATTATAATTTTTTC